ACTCCATCGAGCCACCTCGCAGCCCCATAATAAAGACTAAAAAGCCAATATACATATAGATAAAGAAGGCGTGGTGTTGACTGTGAAAGAGCATAAACTTTGTCATTTTTTCCAGTCTGCAGCTTACACCTTTCGGGAAGCTGATTTTCAAATGAAAGTTGCATCAGTTCAGTTGAGACACTGAAGCTGTGCTTGCACGAATTGCTTCATGCCTTTTATGTCATCAGTGACTCGTTTATCAGCTGCTTGGTAAAGAGCTGACTATCCGGTCACCTCATGCAAGGTGCAGCAAGCAGCCTGGCTTTTCCCGATTGTTGATTGAACTAAGATGTAATGCTCATGTACTGTGTGTGTAGCGTGTGCTGAAAAGGGTTTTGTTATTCCAGCAGAGTCGTTACTGCTCAGACTTAGTGACTTCAGAACGCGAACCACTTTCTGCCTGTTCAAAGTGCGGCCATGTGCTAATTATGATACGTGTCTCGATTCTAACTGAAATCAAAGCTATTTTGGCACAACAATCGTATCCAAAATGCTCAGCAGTATTCCAAAGTATTACGATCAACAGGACAGAAGAATGACTAAAGCATGCAAGTTAATGTGGTTATTTCAGAGACGCATAAACTGCCTGAATGCCTTTGATATTGGAGATATAAAAGAGTACGGATCTCTTCTACAATTACACAACATCTAGCAGAATAGGAACAAATACCGCTGGATCATCTTGACTGGTCACCATCTCCAGAGTCTCGTCCAAATGTCCAGATTCCTTTTGCTTTCTTCTGTAAAAAATAATTGAAAAAAACATTTACGCAACAATGCATTGAGACTTATGTGTAAATGTTAGCCACTAAGAAAAAGCTGGGAATTTAGAAACAAAATTAAAGGTGTACCTGTAGCATTTTTGGGCGAAACAGCAAAAAAAGGCGGAAAAAAGAACCCCGCTCAAAAAGGCAATGATGATCTCCAGCCTTGAAACAACGTCAAATACTTTTTGGGATGTACCTACAATGAAGAGGGGAAAAAAAAATAAATGTTTTTGCTGCACCTGTTTTGTTTTTTTGGTTTTTTTGTGATAATTGTCAAAAAAATATCACAAATTGGTGCTGAAAGTAGCAGAAGTGTTTAGGTTGTGAACATACCACCGAGGTCGGACGGCTTTTTTTGGACGGGGATGCTTTCTGTTGCGTTCTCGTTGTCATTGCTGCTGAAGCATTCGACGGCCTCGTTGCCGAGGTTTTTAGCAGTCAGGATGAGCGTGCTGCTGACGGCGTGGTTTGACACGTTGGTGTTGACGGAATAGTCAGCGTGCTTCCTCAGCAGCGGCCACTGGATGGTTGGTAAAGGAAACCCCTCGCTCTTACACACACAGGTCAGGACTTCAGATTCCACCACGCATCCAGAGCCATTTCGGACGATTGAGAACCCTGTAAACACAACGAGTTAGTCGCCAGTGTAGCGCAAATACGCACTCAAGAAGGTTAACACCGTCTACTTACAGGTCACAGTCACATCAGCATACACAGCCACAGTCGTGTCCAGGTGCTTTGCCGTACAGACGTACTGTCCAGAATCATTTGCTTTCGCGTTAGGGATGATGAGGGTGGCCGATCCGGTGTCGCTGTGCAGTACACCATCAGTTCCGTTGTGCAGCTGTATGTTGGAAGTTGTGCTGTCTTGTGTTGGAAGTTTACGCCACATAATAAGAGACGGAGGGAAACTTTCCGCGCTGCAGGTCAGATTCAGAACGCCGCCGCCCTTAACGGTTGCATCGCCTGTGATCCGAGGTTTCCTTTTATCTATAGAGCACATAATTAAGTATTTTAGTTGGTGTAGTTTATGTAAAATAGGGAATTAAATGTCTGGATATATTTCAAATATACACAAAAAAACATAAATATGATTCAGTAGAGCAACTTTTTAGTGAAAAATATCCTGTACATGCACGCACAGTTTACATGAGAATATATATAGAATTATAGTGAGCTATACATGATATACACAGAACCCACTATGAAGCCACTGTATGCAAAATATCCTTTTTATAAATGATTCATTTATGCCTACTGCATGCATTGCCTGTTAAAAAGGAACTTGCATCACTGTGGACTGCTGCCTACAGTGCTGCGAGTTCCTCTTTTAACAGAAAGTTTTGCTGTTTTAGATCTGGATAAGAAAGATGCGCACTTGTTTGGCATATTGTCCACAACACAGTCTTAAAAAAAGAGAGAAAAAAATGTACTAATACTGAAATGACTTAACAATTTGATGCTTTATTTGCTCTGAGCTCAGTTGTCTGAGGAGAAGAAACAAACACTATAAATGTTCTTTCTAGAAGCACAAAGTTGTGTACTTACATATCACGGTAACGTTGACGATTTCCTTCAGATGTTTTGCTGTGCAGATGTACTGACCAGAATCTTCTACTGTCACGTTGGAGATGGTAAAGGAGCTGAGTCCACTTTCATCCTGCAGGTAGGCTTCAGTGCCGTTCTGCAGAGCAGCTTCTGTTCCATTTTGCATGTTTTCGTTGGTAGATTTGGTCCACGTTGGAACCGATGGAGGGAAACTCTCAACGCTGCAGTTCAGATTCAGACTCTCACCCTCCTTCACGCGTGTCTCCCCTGTGATCTGAAGGTCCTTCACATCTATGACACAACAAGACATATGACACGTTTGCATGGCTTCGCCAAAAGCTTTCATGCAGGAACACTGTCGATGCTGTAAAAATTTTAGATGGCAAAGTACTCACAGCTCACATT